CCATTCTTCTCTTGGAATTTCAGGCATGCAAGCACATGTGCCCTGAGCGATTTTCATACCACCAGGCCTGGGACTTGAACCAGGGTCAGCCATGTGAGAGCCCAGTCCTGCTTAACCACCATGCCACCTTCTGGTCCCAATAACATGAAAGATTTTTAAAAATAATCTTGGTGTAGAGATCTTTATAAATATGAAAAAAAAAAAATCTAGAAATGGGGTCAGCAGGTGGCATGGTGGTTAAAGGCACTGGACTCCCACATGGCCAACCAGGGGCTTGCTCTCTCACTTTCCCCCTCTCTCTCTGTCCCTCTCTGGTCAAATTAAAAGAAAGAAAGAAAGAAAGTTAAATAAAATAATTCTAAAAAAAAAAAAAACTAGAAATCAAAGATTAATAAACTTAGCCACATGAAAAAAATAAAACTTCTATTTAGTTAAAAAAAACAAACAGAAAAACAGGGACCAGCCGATGACATAATGGTTATATTGCTGGACTCCCATGTAGTCAACCACAGTTCAAGTGCTAGACCTAGCAGCTTAAAACTCACACCAGGTGTGTGTGTGCCTACACCCAAAATCCCAAGAGGCAAATGGAAGAAAAGGAATTGCAGTGTGACCATCTCCCCAGGTGGTGATTTCTTGCTTTCTGTCTCTGGTGAGTACACACACCCTGTAGCAAAAATCTCTCTCTAAAAAAAACAAACAGGACCAGCAGTTAGTGTAATGGCTATGTCACTGGACTCCCACGTAGTCGACCACGGTTCGCGTCCCGGACCCGGTGGCTTAAAACTCACACTGGGCGCGTGTGTGTGCGTGCCTAAAATTCCAAGGGGAGAATGGAGGAGAAGGGATTGCGGCGTGGCCATCCCCTCTGGGGGGTGATTTCTCGCTTTCTGTCTCTCTGTCTGTCTGGTGAGCACACACGCCCTATAGCAAAAACCTCTAAAAACAAACAAACAAACAAAAAACAGAAAACCACAGTCGAGGTAACTGAAAAATACAAACCATATGTAACATAATATAAGAACTATATTAACAATTCACACAAGGGGCTGGCAGGTGGTGTGTGATGGCACATGGTCGACTGCAATTCCAGTCCCAGACCTGGGGGCTTGCTTTCTCACTTTCTTTTTTTTTTTTTTGGAGAGGTTTTTGCTATAGGGTACATGCGCTCGCCAGGCAGAGAGACAGAAAGCGAGAAATCACCCCCCACGGGGGATAGCCACGCCACAATCCCTTCTCCTCCGTTCTCCTCCTGGGATCTTGGGCACGCACGCATGCACACCCAGTGTGAGTTTTAAGCCACCAGGACCGGGATGCGAACCATGGTCAACTATATGGGAGTCCAGTGACATAGCCATTTCGCTAACTGCTGATCCCTCTCTTATTTTTTTTTTTCTTTCTCACTTTCTCTCTCTCTCTCTCATTCTCTTGCTCTCTCACTATGACCCTCTCTGGTCAAATTAAAATAAATAAATAAAGTTAAATAAAATACCTTTTTCTTCTTTTTTTTAAGATTTTTGCTATAGGGTACATATGCTAGACAGAGATCCAGAGAGAGACAGAGAGACAAAAAGTGAGAAATCACCCCCCGAGGGGGATGGCCATGCTGCAATACTTTCTCCTCCATCTTTCTCTCGGGATTTTGGGCACACGCACACACGCACCCAGAGTGAATTTAAGCCGCCAGGTCTAGGACTTAAACTGCGGTTGAGTACATGGAAGTCCAGCAGCATAGCCATTACACCATCCGCTGGTCCCTAAATAAAATAATTATTTTTAAAAAATCATACAAGGGGCCAGCTGGTGGTGTGGTGGTTAAGGGTGCTGGACTCCCACATGGTCATTGCAGTTCAAATCCTGGACCTGGCAACTTGTTTTTTCACTTCTTCTCCCTCACTCTTGCTCTGTCCTTCTCTGGTCAAATTAAAATAAATAAATAAATACATGAATAAATAAATAAATAAAGTTTAAAAAAAATTTCATGAAAATCTGAGACTAGATCATGGCAAAGTGGTTACATCGCTGAACTCCCACATGGCTGACCATGGTTCGAGTCCCAGACCCGTGGCTTGAAACTCACAGTGGGTGCATGTGTGTGCATGCTCAAGATCTCAGGAGGAGAATGGAAGAGAAGGGATTGCAGCATGGCCATCCCCCCTGGGTGGTACTTTTGCACTTTTCCTCTCACTGGGTCTGTCTAAGAGAGCACACATGCCTTAAGGCAAAAACCTCTAAAAAAAAACAGTCCATGCAAATCAAAAATGGAAAAGTAATCCAGTAGAAAAAAATAGGCAGTTTATAAAGAAAGAAATACAAATGGCCAGGGCCAGCAGGTGGTGTGGTGGTTAAGGGTGCTAGACTCCCACATGACTGATTGTGGTTTGATTCCTGGACCGGCAGCTTGCTTTCTCACTTTCCCTGTCTCTCTCTCTCTCTCACTCTGTCCCTCTCTGGTCAAATTAAAATAAATAAATAAATAAAGTTAAATAAAATAATTCTAAAAAAAAAAGAAATCCAAATGGCCAATCAACATATGAAAAGATAACAAACTCTTTCAAAAAATGCTAGTTAAAACGATGAGACATAATTTTTGTCAAGAAAAAATTGTTTTATAAAACCCAGTTTGGGCCAGAAAATAGAGATGTAAATTAATACAACTTCTCTAAAGGGCAATCTGGCAATACTTGGAAAATTTTCAATTCATAGTTCATTGACTCAGCAATCTCAGTTCCAGGAATTCACTTACATATGTATGAGAGCAAGTTTACAAAGATATATAAAAATAGCTGCTGCATTTTTCTGAAATTGCAGGAAAAAAATAACTTAAAACAACCTAAATGTTTAGCAGCTAAGATGTAAGATACAGTCATACACATATGTAATATAACATTTTCTCTTTTAGGAGAGGTTTTTGCTATAGGGCGCGAGCACTCGCCAGAAAGAGAAATAGAGACAGAAAGCAAGAAATCACCCCCTGGGGGGATGGCCATGCCGCAATCCCTTCTCCTCCATTCTCCTCTCAGGATCTTGGGCACGCATGCGCACGCACTAGGCGTGAGTTTAAGCCACCAAGTTCAGGATCGCATACATGGGAGTCCAGCGACATAACCATTACGCCAACTGCTGGTCCCTATAACATTTCCATAGATGCATAAAATGCTCCAGAAAGATATATAAGCAACTGCTATCAGTGGATACCACTGGGGAGTAAAACTAGAAAGGAAAATTCAACTTTTCCTCATATACTCTTTTGTATGATTTATGTGTGTGTGTGTGTGTATGCATATACACCTATCATGTACCATATTTTATATATATATATATATATATATATATATATATATATATATACACACACACACATCCCCCCGAGGGATGGCCACAGCAACAATCCCTTCTTCTCCATTCTTCTTCAGGAATTTTGGGCATACACACACACACACACGTACCCAGTGTGAGTTTCAAGTCACGGGGTCTGGGACTCGAACCACAGTTAGCCATGTGGGAGCCCAGCATCCTAACCGCTATGCCACCTGCTGGCCCCTACTCCCCATTTTAAAGTGAGGAAAACAAGCTACAGAGAAGTAGCCAAAGACCACAGAGCAATTATGTGTTAGAGTCGAATCCAAATTTACTATAAAGCACTCGCTCTTAACCACTACTATTAGGTCGTCATGAAAGTCATGATGTATTTTTCTATGCAAACTGTATCATGACTTTTTCAAGAACCTAATATATGTTCTTGCCCATGGTTCTATTTCTACATGAGAGGTGAGATTTGGTCCTAACCATTCTTCTTAAGATATGTTAGGCCCTTTGGGGTCCAGCAGGTGGTGTGGTAGTTAAAGTTCTGGACTCTTACATGGACAACCATGGTTTGAATCCCAGACCTGTGGCTTGCTTTCTCACTTTCCCTCTATCTGTCTCTCTGGGTCAAATTTTAAAAATAATAATAATAAATAAAATATACAATTACCATATGACCAGAGGCAGTTCAAGTCCTGGACCTGGCAGCTTGCTTTGTCACTTTCTCTTTCTCTCTCTCTGTCTCTCTCTGGTCAAATTAAAAGTAATAATCACAAATAACATAAAATTCTTAAAAGACAAGTTAAGCCTCCTTCTGTACAAAAGTATTACAGAATACTTACTTGTCTTAGTCCATTTTGTGCTGCTACAGCAGAATACCTGCTATCAGTGGATACCACTGGGGAGTAAAACTAGAAAGGAAAATTAAACTTTTCCTCATATACTCTTTTGTATGATTTATGTGTGTGTGTGTGTGTGTGTGGATAATTTATAAAGACCAGAAATTTATTCTCTCACAGATCTGGAGATCTGTGAGATCAAGGCACCTGGGGCTGGCAGGTGGTGTGGTAGTTAAAGGCGCTGGACACCCACATGGCTGACCGCAGTTCGAGTTCCAAACCTGCTTGCTTTCTCACTTTCTCTCTCCCTCTCTCTCTCTCTCTGACCAAAATAGAAAATAATAATAAATTTAAAAATTAAATTAAAAAATAATTCTTAAAAAAAAAAAAATTAACGCACCAGCATCTGGTGTGGGTTATCTTACTGCATCCTTAAGTGGGGAAAGGGCAAGAGAGAGTGAACTCAGTTCAGAAGCCCTTTTTAATTAAAAAAAAAAAGAAGAATTTATTTTCTTTTTATTTATCATACTTTTTTTTGACAAGAGAGAAAGAAGGAAAAGTGAAAAAGTGAAAAAGCAAGCCGCCAGGTCCAGAACTCAAACTGCAGTCGGCCACGTGGGAGACTAGTGCCTTAACTACCATGCCACCTGCCAGCCCCCAGAAGCCCTCTAATTAATCTGTTCATGAGGGCACACTCTTCATGACCCAAACACCTCTCAGAAAGCCTTAATTACCTCCAAATAATGTTATATTGGAAATTAAGTCCAACATGTGAATTTTGGGGAACACATTCAAACTACAGCAGTGCTGGAGGGGCACTTAAAGCAGGCAGACTACATAGAAATAACTGCTTACCTGCAGAATAGATGGGATTCTCTTCTGAAGGTATGAACCTAAAAAGAGAAAGTATGTTGAACACAGTTGAATACTCACATTTTATTGCAATTACCAACATCTGTACACTCCTAATTAAGGCTATGTTGTGATAGATATTTCTTTATTGACTCCTACCACAAACATTATTGAACACCTATCATGTACCAGACAAAGTGCTAGGTCTTGAGGATACAAATACAAGTGAGTAGACCTCTACCCATGGTCTACTTGGTACAGATATATATAAATAAATGTAAACCACAGTACAGTATTCTAAGACTATGCTACACAGTACAGTAATTCAGAACAGAAACATATACAGGATTCGCTAGGATCCAAAGGAAGTGTGATCACTTCCACTAGAGTAGTGGAACTGTTTGGGCTGAGTTTTAAAAAATGAGAAACTGTTATCGATGATTTAGTTGGCATTGCAGGAAAACACTCTAGGTAAGGTATGAAAGGGTATGTTTGGAAAACAGTAAGCAGCAGGACACGAGGGGAACTTCAGCTGCCGGCAAGGGAACAGAGTGAACAATGAAGCTAGAGAGGTCTAAGGCATTTGGTCTTTACCGCGCAAAGGCACTTGGAAGCTCCTGGCAGATTTTAAGCACAGGAATGATATCATCAAGTATGTTTTAGAAAGTTAGCCCTGACAGCAGGTGAGTGATAAATGGGAAGAGATAAGACCAAGGCAAGAGAACCAGTGAGATGGTTCTGGTAATAGTTCAGAAGAAAAGTGATGTGGGGCCAGCAGGGGGTACGGTGGGTAAGGCACTGGATGCCCAAATGGTCGACTGCTGTTTGAGTCCCGAAGCTAGTGGCTTGAACATCAGGCCAGGCACATGTGCACACAGCCAAAGTCCTGGGAAGAGAATGGAGGAGAAAGGATTGTGGCATGGCCATCCTTTTTCCGCTCACTGTTTGCCTTTCTGGCAAGCCTATGTGCTCTATGGCAAAAATCTTGAAAAAGAAAGAAAGGAAAAAGAAAAGGGATTTAAGCCTTGCACTAATAAAACAGGCTCAGGGAAAATGGAGAGGGAGGGACAGCAATGAGAGCCAGACTGCATCCAGAGGCCAGAGAACACAGAGGGGAATGATGTGGCTCTGTTCACCTGATTGGGTGATCAGCAGATTTTAGTTCTGCCCATGAAAGGCAATGAAGCTAAACTGAAATAAACTGGAAGTCAGAAGATTTACAACTGAATGCTAACTCCACCATTTCTAATCTGTGACCTCAGGAAAGTTGTTTGACATCACCATAACTCATTTATCTCATCTTTAAAATACAGATAAAAATAGGGGCCAGAAAGTATTGTGGTGATTAAGGTGCTAGAGTCCCACATGGCAGACCATAGCTCAAGTCTTGGATCTGGTGGCTTCCTTTCTCTCTCTCTCTCTGGCCAAAGTGAAGAATACTGCTGCTAAATGAAATTAAATAAATTCTTTTTAAAAAATGTTTTAAATGTACAGATAAAAATAGTACGACTCACAGGACTAAAAATTTATCTTGGGGCCAGCAGGTGGCATGGTGTTTAAGGGTGATTAACTCCCACATGGCCCTCCACAGTTCAAGTCCTGGACCTGGCAGCTTGCTTTCTCACTTTCCCTCTCTCTCACTCTATCCCTCTCTGGTCAAATTAAAATAAATAAAGTTAAATAAGATAATTCTCTAAAAATATATATAAATAGGGGCTGGCAGGTGGCATGGTATTTAAGGGCACTGGACCCCCACATGGCCAACCACAGTTCGAGTCCTGGACCTGGCAGCTTGCTTTCTCACTTTCCCTTGCTCTCTCTCGCTCTCTCTCACTCTGTCCTTCTCTGGTCAAATTTAAATAAGGAAAGAGACAGAAAGAAGGAAAGGAAGGAAGGAAGGAAGGAAGGAAGGAAGGAAGGAAGGAAGGAAGAAGAAGGAGGAGGAGGGAGGGAGAGAGGGAGGGAAGAAGGAAGGAAGGAAAGAAAGAAGAAAGAAAGAAAAAATAATTCTCTTAAAAAAATAAATAAATGAAAATTTATCTCAAACTCTCTGAGTCAATTTCCTCTTTCGTAAAATGACAATATTGATATTTGTCCTGTAGTGTATAGGGCGCGTGCGCTTGCCAGAAAGACAGAGAGAGAGAGACAGAAAGCAAGAAATCACCCCCCAGGAGGGATGGCCACGCTGCAATCCCTTCTCCTCCATTCTCCTCTTGGGATCTTGGGCACGCACACACACGTGCCCAGCGTGAGTTTAAGCCACTAGGTCCGGGACTCAAACCACGGTCGACTACATGGGAGTCCAGCGACACAGCCATTACGCTAACTGCTGGTCCCTCCTGTAGTGTTTTTGTGAGGATTAGAGATAATATGTTAAATGCCTACCTTGAACCCATAACAAGTGCTTATCCAATAGATGTTGACTGATTAATGATGAAAAAGATTAAGATGGAAAGAGAGTAAGAGAAGGATTTCAATAGCTGTACTCATGAAATTATCCAGGCTTGTGAGTGCTTGCGAATGGTCCAGGAAGATCTATAATTCATTGTTTTATATACTGTGACTGTCAGGATACTTGGTGAGTATCAGCTGAATAGAGAGATAAACTACCAAATGTATTTCACCAGTATTTAGAGAAAAACAGTGAGGAGGCTATATGCTGCATGCAGCACAGTAAAAAAAAAAAAAAAGGTTCGAGTCCTAATTCAACCCATATTAGCTAGGTCATTTTGAGCAACAGATTAACCTCTCTGGAACTCAGTTATTTATGTATAAAAGTGAGACATTATCACCCATTTCACCAGGTCTCTATAAGGGTCAATTAATTCATTAAACAAATATTTAGTAAGGGCTGGTTCTGTGAAGTAGTGCTAATACATTACTCAAGAAAAGCCAGATCCCACATGACTATGGTTCAAAGCCCTGGCCAGGTTCACCTGAAACACGAGAGGTATACAAGACAATGTCCAGGATATGACAAACTGAAAGATTGAGGAAGGGGATTGCAGTGTAACCAGAACCTGGGGTAGGTGCTTCCCTCTCCTTTACTCTCACATGTGTGCACACATCCTTTATCATGAATTAAAAAAAAAAATTAATGCCTACTATGTGCCAGTCACTATTCCAGGCTGTAGGGATAGGGCAATAAACAAAACTAAAAAGTCCTATCCCGGGAACCAGCAGTTGGCGTAATGACTATGTTGCTGGACTCCCACATAGTCGACTGAGGTTCACGTCCCAGACCCGGTGGCTTAAAACTCATGCCGGGCGCGTGTGCGTGTGTGCCCAAGATCCCTAGAGGAGAATGGAGGAGAAGGGATTGCGGTGTGACCATCCCCCCTGGGGGGTGATTTCTTGCTTTCTGTCTCTATGTCTCTGTCTGTCTGGAGAGCGCACGCACCCTATAGCGAAACACCCCCCCCCCAAAAAAAAGTCCTATCCCCATGATGCTTATATTCAGAGGGGTAGGAGGGTGGGGAGACAGTTTTTAAAAATATGTATACATGGGACTAGCAGTTAGCGTAATGGCTATGTCGCTGGACTACCACGTAGTCGACTGCGGTTCGAGTCCCAGACCCAATGGCTTAAACTCACGCCAGGCGTGTGTGCGTGCGTGCCCAAGATCCCGAGAGGAGAATGGAGGAGAAGGGATTGCAGCGTGACCATCCCCCTGGGGGTGAGTTCTCGCTTTTTGTCTCTCTGTCTCTCTCTCTCTGTCTGGCGAGCGCACGCGCCCTATAGCAAAAACCTCTCCAAAAAAAGAAAAAAAATATGTATACATAAAATATGTCAGAGCCGAGCATGATGGTCTGTGCCTATAATCCCAGCAACTCTGAGGCTAAGGCAGAAGGATCACAAGTTCAAGGATAGCCTGGGCAACATAGTGAAATCTTGTCTCTAAAAACAAAAAGTGTCAGGTGGTGGTACCAGCAGATGACATAATGATTATGTCCCTGGACTCCAACATAGTTGGCCACAGTTTGAGTTCCCAACCCAGGGGCTTAAAACTCACACTGGGTGCATGTGTATGCATGCCTGAAATCCTGAGAGGAGAATGGAGGAGAAGGGATTGCAGCGTGACCATCCCCCAGGGGGTGATTTCTTGCTTTTTGTCTCTCTGTCTCTCAGGTGAGTGCAAGCACCCTGGAGCAAAAATCTCCCTCTCTAAAAAAAAGTGTCAGGTGGTGATATCCACTGTGAAGAAAAAGAAAACAAGGGTAAGGGGGTAAAGATTGACGGAAGGGGGTGTATGTTAAATAGGGGTAGTCAGGGAAGGCCTCTCCGATGAAATGACATTCGAGTAAGAATTTGAATAAACCAAGGGGATATTGTCATATGGATATCTGAGGAAAGAATGTGCAAAGATGCTGGGTGGGAGGGTGCTTAGATCTTCAAGGAATAAGAAGAGGCCAGTGTGGCTAAAGCTGTGTAAGGAGTAGAGAAAGAGGGGCAGATTATGCAAGGCATTATAGGCCATGGTAAGTGCTATGGTTTGTGTACTTCAAAAATTCATGTTTCAAGATTTGGTTATGAAGGTACTGAGAGGTATGAGAGAAAACTTAATACCTTCATGGTGTCAATGGGGTTGGGGAACCTCTGCAAGTGATTAAGTGATGAGGGTGGGAACTCTCTGACTGAACCCTAGTTAGTTTTTAAGGAAAGATAATCAGACCAGGACACACTTTGATAGATGGACACAGACATATGCTC